GGACGTGGTGGGGACCATGGCACAGCTTGGAGAACAGACCCGGCCTAAAGGAAGCAGCTACTACTCAGCTTTAGGGGACACTCGCCCTGTTGAAATAAGGACCTAGACCTCTCCATTTCCCGCATAATGGGGGGAAAGCTATTTTAGGCAAAGTCTTAAGAATTTTCAGTGTTGGTAACTTAAAAACTTTTCAAAATACTATTGGGGACAGAGAAAACACTGGATCAGCCCAGGTGGGCTGTAGGCATGGTTTTCCACGTCCATTTGCCGAGGGCCAGCACTCTGAAGAATGCAGAGCAAGCTGGGCGCTGGGCTTGCTGGCGGAAAGCTCCTAGGGCTCAAGGACCTCGTCTGGTCCACAGAGAACGGCCGGGATCAGAGTGTGAAAGGGGAGGGGAGGGGGAGACCCCATGAGGAGGTCTTCATGGAAGCGGAGGCCCTTGAGCTGGACTATGTGAAAGAAGAGGAAGCAAAATCATTCTGGGCAAGGGAAGAACAGCTTTGAACTATGGGGAAGAGGTGTTTCCACAGAGCTGGAGTGCATTTGGCACACACAGGGACTGTGAGGGAGGGCTGTAGTCTCTATCTCCAGATCACGGGTCGCCACTGTGGCCAGCAGGTGCTCCTAGCCAGTACCCCTCAGCTCTGGATGTGGGCCTCTGAGACCAGCAAGGTGGGGTGACAGAAAGGGCGGGCAGGTACTGAAGGTGGAAGCTGGAAGCCCGTGCTTAGACCCGCCCTTACCACTTCCAGGATTGCATTCATTCATTTAGGCCAAAGATCACAGCAAGCGATGGTCAGTTATGCACTTGGGAGCTTGGGCTTTGAAGAGGAAAGAGAATTAGTCCCTTTCTCTAGGGAGTTCACAGTCTGATGGCAGCCACTGAAGAGAGTCCGGACAACTGCTCTCTGATGCTTTACTTAAGAGAGGGCTCTTCCTCATTGCCAGGGAGCTAGTGATAGGTTTGTAGAGGAGAGGACTTCTAAGCTGAGTCTTGAGAGATGGGTAGGAGTTTCCCAGGGGAATAAAGTGGAACCAGCAGAAGGCTGAATGCAGAAAAAGAAGCGTGTGAAATGTGCAGGTGTGTTGGGAACCTGCTTCAGGAATATAGAGTTCATTCAATCCCTTGACAAATACTTGAGTTCCTGTGTGCAGAGGCTGTGCTAGGCACTGGAGGGCAGAATAAAGCAGGTACTCTCCACCCTAACAAAGATAGTAATTGGAAATTATACTATCCAATTTCTCAGTACCTCACTTTCCCCATCTCTGAAGTGTTTTGCATACCTCACAGAGCTTCACTGAGGAGTGAATAGGATTACATGGTTAACATATTTGCGACGGCAGCTGGGTTCACACTGGCATATAGGAAATGCTCATTAAATATTTGCAGAACTAAAATGGCTTCTTGCCCTGACTCCCTGATAATCTAGCTCTTGGAGTTAAACTGTCATAGCTTCACTAGATAAGCAGCTTTGTTCAATGAATAAATACACAAATGCTACAGGCACTACGCACTTTACACACACATTACCTACAGCATGCCTGTCAAGTGGATACTATTCTTTGTCTCCATTTTACAGTAGGGAAACAAAGGCCTGAAGATGGTAAGAGACTGGTCTAACATGCACAGGTAGTGATGAAGAAGGCTCTAGATTCTGTGTCCTGGCAGTCTGACCTCAGAGCCTCAGCACTTTAACACGCCACATATTGTTGCTCACGTTGAGAGGGCATCTGGGTGGCCTGATGGAAAGCACTTGAGAACTTTGAGGGACTTTGCCCGCCACCCTCCAGCCAGCCGGGCTGGCCCTCCGTGGTTCTCTTTCAGGTCAGAGAATCTGTCGGACAGTCCTCGGGGGCAGGGGAAGTGAGAAGGTGTCATTCCCTTCCTGGGAAGAGGGCACTTCTGGTACTTCTAGTAGGAAACAGGTCCTAAATTAAGAAATACCTTTAAAAAATTAGAAATATGGCTGTTAGCTTCTGTCCTGAGGAGGTGACGAAGGCTCCAGTTCTTCCAGGGTGCCAGGGCTGGAGAAAGTTCAGAGATGGATGGGCTTTGACAGCGTCACTCTTGCTGGTCAGAGAGTGATTCCAGGCCTGGACGGGGCTCTGGGCCAATACACATCACAAAGTAGCTCTGTCTGCAGCTCCCAGACCTTGGGAAAGGCAAGACTGTTATTTGAGAGTTTTTTTAAAGTCTCAGTACAAGTCACATGTTCACCTTCTCATCTGGAGAGAAGCTCTAGGGCTAAAAGCGCAGTTTTGGTTAGCAAGCAGTCCTGTCCTGGCACTGGCTGTTTCCTGCTGTGAACTTGTGGTCTTGGCCAAAGTTACCTTGTTTCCTCCGAACTTCTGTTTTCTCATCTCAAAGAGGAGACAGTGATAAAATCAACGCAATGATTAGCAGAGTGCCTATTGCATGAGAGGCTCAGTAAATATTTACTATGGTTTTCTGATGGGTCGAAGAAAAATTTTTTCTTGTCAGACTGTCCAACTTTTTCTTGTAAGGATAGGAGTGATAATTTATTCACTCTATAGATATCAGAGTTGAAAATGGAAGTCGAATGTGTGTTTAAGGATTCTATGTTTGCTCTATTTATTTTGTATATTAAAAATCTTTTCTCTAAAAACATTAACCATTGTTATTAACATTTATTTTAACTGATACAGTTATTGAGCACCTACTATGCGCCAGATAGTATAAGGGGCACAGGATGACTAAAGCTTTATCCTTAATTTCAGGAAGTTGCTGGTCCCGTATGGGAGGTAGATATATCATCTTTTTTGTTCCTTCCCCAATCTTGGTGCATAAACTGCTCTGTGTTGAATATTCCTGTTTAAACAGGGACAGCCTGGAATCTGGGACACGAGGGGACCTGCAAGATCTGGGTTTCTGGGAGGCTGACTCCTATACTCCTGTCTAGCTACATGCACCTCCCTGTGTTGTCACTCTTGGTTCCCATGCCCTTGTCAGGGGCCCCTCCAGCACTAACCACCAGCTATCATTGTTTTTTATGTACGTATTGGGAACCTGGGTTAGGGTGCCTTCTGCCTCTGATGCAGATGGCCGGGGCTAACCACACCCAGCCAGCAAGCCCCCACGCTGGGGAAGTTGGAAGGCAATCACACTAATATCCAAATGCATAGGCTTTACAAATATCCCGGGTTTTGGAGCGTGGAAAGCATTTTAGGATTTACTTCATTTAATCTGTGCAGAAGGCGGTATGTCTAGTCATGCTTGACACATGAGGAAACTGAACAGGGAGAGGTGGGTTCCAAACGGCAGCTAGAGCCCCAGCCCACCCAGGTTCTCAACGTTGTCTGATTAGAATAACGGGGGTGCTGGTTAAATGTGTAGAAAAAAGCCCTCTCTTCCAGTTTTAATTCTGAAGGTCTGGATTGGGACTCAAGGATCAATAATTTAACAAACACTCTTGGTAATGCTTGTCTTCGGGCAAGTCCAGACACATTTGTTGATGTATTTACTTAGCTAAGGTTTACTGGGTCCCAGCGAGGATCCGCACTGTGGGGAGAGCATGATGAACATGCCAGTCCCCAGCCTGAAGGAGCTGTCAGCTGAGCAGATAGATTGTCCAGGGTCCTGGGTCTGCAACCCAGGTCTCTCCCGGACAATGTCCCTTCCTGCTGGGTGGGACTGGTTTCCGCCCGGACACAGAATTGGAGCCTGCTGGGCCTCCTCCCACAGTCTAACACTTGCTCAGGGCTGAGCCTGTAGTTCTTCGGAGCTGGAGGCATCCTGTGAAGAAGGCAAGGTGTGCATGGCACATAGTGAGGCATTCAGTAAATGCTAACCAACTGCTAACGTGCTTCTTGGCTTGAAAAGTATCTGGGGGGTGCGGGGTCGGGGGCGGGGGGAACCCTCCAGTGTGGAGGAAAGCAGCTCAGGCCTGACAAGAGGTAGGAATTTACATCTCTTCAAACGTAGTTCCAGCACGGACCTGACTTTGCACCTGGAAGGGAGGCCAGGCAAGGATCCCTCCTGAACTGATGAGGAAAGTAGGTCCCAGAGAGCCAGGAGTGAGAGGTCCTGAGCTAAAAGCTGGGTATCCCGAGGGCACTGCCGGGGCGGACGGAAACTGTGGGCATGGACATCGTGGGCAACACCTTTTCCCTGAAATCACTGAGGTGATGTCTGCCTGTGAAGGGAAGAGTCTGCTGCCACCACAGCCACCCCACTCGCGGGGACCAGGGACCTGTCAGCTATGTTCTGGGTTCCAGCTTCAGCTGACCACTTCCCTTTTCCAGTGGAGGAGGGCGGCCTTCATCCTGGTCACTCCTGGCCTGTGTCTTCCCCAGGAGACCACTTACATACTGGAAGCAGGACCCCGTGGGCCTTGGTCTGGAGCTCACATTCCTTGTTCCAGCAACTCTGAGTACCCAGTAGTTTCCCGGAGGCTGGCCCTCCAGATGGGCCCTGCCAGGTAAGCCGAGGTGCTCACGGAGGCCATCCTGGACAGTGCCCCAGAAGGCTGCACTGGCCAGGCTACACAGAGACATCACAGGCCAGTGTGGGTCCACACCTTCCCTGGTAGCCACCAGGGTCCACCACCCCCTCCCCCACCTACTCCTTGTTGAGCCAGACATACATTTGGAGGCTGGAGGGACAGGAAAGGGCAGGGATCCCAGGTGGGGGTAGAGTGAGGAAGCAACCACTTTGACCAGGGAGTTTGCAGGCAACAAGTCTGCTGTCTCAGAAATAAAGCCTAGGAGAGCCAGGTGCCCAGACCTGACAAACTAGCCGGTCCCTGGACCTTTGAGCTCTTCCGGGAGCTGCGTGGGTCTCCTCCCTACCAGGCTCAGGCCCCGCCCTCCCCGAGTAGTAGGGGGTCTCTCTGGGGGACTTCTCCCAGAATGGGGTGGGGGTGTGTGTGTATATGATCTTAAAGCTTCCCCTAGGGAGGTAGGGCGGGGCGGGGCAGCCGGCTACGAAGGCCCAGGATATAAGGGCGGAGGCGCCGTTTTCAGACCCGGCCAGCCCACCATGCACGCCCACCGGCTCCCCTTCCTTCTTCTGCACATCTGGTGGGCCCTCCTCCAGGCGGGCGCCGCTACAGTAGCCCCTCTACCCTTACGTACGAGGGGACAGGCCTCGTCACCGTCCCCTCTCGCGTATATGCTGAGCCTCTACCGTGACCCTCCCCGGGCAGACATCATCCGCAGCCTGCAGGCCCAAGGTAGGCTGCCCTACACCGCTGCGCACCCCGGGGCGCCTCGGGTCCCCTCCTACCACCGGCCTCGGAAGGGCGCTGGAGTCGCCTGGGGGCTGCGGATCCGTGCGGGGGACGCCGCCGTGGGGGACATGCCCGTGATCTCGGAGGGCGCGTTGGGGGTCTGGGGGTGACTGCACGTCTGCGTTGGCTCGGGCGCAGGGTTAGTGGGTGGCGGGATTGTGGTGCTCCAGGTGTGTCCCGGACGGAGACCTCTGGGTTCGGGGTCTTAGGGGTAAAGCGCGGTACTGTAAGTGGGAGCCTGATTGTGCCATTTTTTATCTCTGTGGTTTTGTTAAATTACGTAATTTCGGGCGTCTCAGTTTGCGCACCTGTAGAATAGGAATAAGAGTACCTCCCTCCTAAGTCTGTAGTGACCCCCACCCAAAAACACCCGCTCATAAATCTAGGTGACAAAGCAAAAAACAAACAAAAAACCCGCTTAGCACAAAAGCAGGCATGGCAATAAATGGCCCTTAGTATTGCCACAATTATTTTGTTTTGTCGAGTTTTTTTTTTTTTCTTCTCGTGAGGGTGAACGGGCATCCGGGTCTGGCGTTGAGAGTGTCTCAGGAGGAGAGCAGGCTTGGAAACCGGGTCCCAAGCGTGTCACACCAGGCATGCGCGTTCAGAGATCTGGGATTAGAGATGGGACGCCCCAAAGTCGAGAACTGAGTCACGTTTGGGTACGGAGGCTAGGCTGAGGAGGTGTCAGCGTCCCGGGTCACGCCGGCCTCAGGCCTGGATTTAGAGGGGGTCTGGGGGAGCCCGTGACCACGGTGACCTGGGAGTTTCGCCCTCCAGGACAGCAGAGCCTGTCTGCGCGCCGGGCGCGGCGGGCACGTGGGTGTTGCGCAGAGGGAGCCCCTCCCCGCGAGGCCCCCTGACCCCGCGCAATCCACATCCTGGGCTGGGGAGGGGAGCCCTGCCGCCCCGCGCCCCCCGCCGCTGCCAGGGCTAGACGGCCCTCCCCGGGGCCGAGGCGAAATCCACATCCGATAATCTGATCTGACTGCCGCCCGCCGACCCCTTGAGGTCCGTGGGTGGGGGCTCCTAGGGCCCTCGCCTGCCTAGTCTCGGGTCAGACAGCTCGTGACCCTCTCCGGAAGGGTCATCCGGGGACCGGCCGGACTAGGGACACCCCGGGGAGCGGGGCAATTTGAAAGTGCTCTGCTCCGCCACCAGAAAGCTGCGGGGGTGGGGGAGGGGGTATTGGGGGTGCGGCGGCTGTGCAAAGCGGAAGGTTCTTCAGTTCCTTTTTCCGGAGGGTTCCAGAAGGGTGGCTGGTCTTCCTGGGACTGGAGAACTGGGTTTCGGTCCCTCAAACCCTGCTTCCCAATTTCCTTTGTGTCCCTGAAACTTCAGTTGATTTCTCTACTTTGTTTCCTCTTTTGTAAAACGGAGCTGGCTTTCTTTCTGCTTCATTTGTGTGTGCATAGTAAGATATATACATAACAAAAATCGACCAGTTTACCCATTTTCAAGTGTCCAGCCGTATTAAGTACATTCACACTTGCGAACTGGCTTCACTCTGACAAAGCAGTGAGAGGAGCCTGCCTGGAGGGAGCCGGGCAAGGGGTGTCCTAGCGCGGCTCCGTTCCTTTCTGGGGTTATTTGCAAGCCGCACTCGGACGGTATGAAGTGGATGTTGGATGGAGCCTCACCAAATTGGCTTTGCATCTGTGTCTGTCACTGTTTAACCAGTTCCACGCAGGACGTTGAGTTTCTCATCCACAGAATGGAGGTGAAGGTGGGGAGGATTTAAAGGAGACAGTGTTTATAAAACACTTGGCATGAGGGTGGTCAAAATGGCATTTATTGTATAAATGGGAGATAGTTCCACACACCACGCCCCCCCCCCCCCGGCCCCGGGGAGAGCATTCTTAGCTTTTGTGAGGCATCAGTGACCCTCAGAAAGGTTAGCGCCCCTATTCTAAGATGAATGGAAGCCAGATCTAGGAGGCCCTATGTATCAGTGCTGTGTCCCAGGGGGCCCTTGGCAGGGGATGGGGTTGTGGAGTCTCAGACTCCTCAGCAGAAGCAGTCATTTCCCTGCCTGCCCGCCCTCCACACACGCGGCCCATCCCGGTAACCGATGACTCCGTTCCCCCGTCCAGGTCCCTGTCTACCACCACCTTCACTCCTAACTCTGGGCTGGGCAAAGGCGGTCGGTTAACGACGGCCAGTGTACATTGCGCTTTGGTGTCTGTGCTAGATAAAGCACTTCATGCACTTCTCAGTAAATCAGGGGTGGATATTATCACCACCTCCCTTTTACAGAGAGGGAAACTGAGGCTCAGAGAAGGTCTCAAATATTAACCTGCCCAATGTTAAACAGCAAATGGCAGAATTCAAACCATCGCTGGAGACAACAGGGCCCCTGCTCTTAGCCACTGAGCTGAATGCCTTCCTGAAAAAGGCCATTTGTGGATACTTGAGATAATATGTTGACTCCTGGTGCTTGTGGCTGGGAGTTGCTACATGTCCCACCTAATCCCCAGGGGGGCCAGGTGGTGCTCCAATGGGCAGCAGGTAATGTCACCCTCCTCCCCACACCTCTGGGGAGAGTTGCTAGTCTGGGGCCGGTTATTGCCCCCTGCAGGTGCTAATGAGGAGGGAAGTGGAAATAAAGTGAAAAGGGGCAGCCAGGGACCGGCTGGGAGAAGCCGCCAGAGGCTGGGCCTGGGCAGTGCCCCTTCCAATGCAGGCTGGGTTTCCCGAGAAATCCACTTACTGTCTGACCCAACAGGTTCTGCGAGACAATAAAACAAACAAACACACCAACAAACACACTGTTATGTGATCTGCCCGGAAGGACTGAACTCAAAGATTTAGGATCTATGCAGAAAGGGTTACTGTTTGTGTTTCTAATGAATAACCCTTGACTTTTATTTAGCAATAAACCCTCAAACCTCTTCACTTCCCTGGGTCTGATAATGCAGGGATGAGCAAGGCATTCCCATTACAAGAAGACATTGGGCTGGAAAAAGTTAAAGATCACTGTTAGGTGACCTGAAAATTTATAAATCCAGCCATTCCCAGACATCAGACCAAATTAGTCCAGGACTAAAATAAATGGAATGTGCTTCCTGTTCCTTTTCGTCCATTCTGGGCTTAGTTGTGTTGGGTGAGGGGAACAGGGCCGTTCGTGCGCGTGTGCTGTGTCTGTCCGGGGTGTGTGGGTGAGCTGGGGCAGGAGAGAGGGGGAGCGCCCTGCAGGTAAAGAGGAGAAACCACTGGGCGGGAAGTGTGAGGTCAGCGCAAAGCCAAGCTTAGAATGCCGTGGGGAGCCCATTTGTAAGGTTGCCAGAACCTCCTGAAGTTTCTGCCCCCATCTTGAGGAACAGGCCAGGAAGAGGGCAGCCAGCCTTTGGTTTCTGTTGCCTGCGCCCCTCTGAGAGCTCGGAGCCTTTCCATAATATGCATACCAACTTCATCGTGCCGGTGAAACAGGCCGCCCTTTCTAATGAGAAAATGGAACCTGGGAAGGTGACCGGCTCCAGGGTTAGGGGGTAAGCTGGAAGCCCACGGTTTAGGTCAAAAAGCTCAGAGCATGGCCTTAGGCTGCGTGGGAGGAGGAGACAAACTCGTCCAAGTTTTACCAGTTGTTCTCTGGCTTCAGAGTGTCTTGCGGGGGGGGGGGGGGTAGCAAAACAGTGGTTTGGAGATTGGGCTTTTCAGCTAGGCAAATCCAGGTTTCTTCCTGGCTCTGCCACCTTCCAAGAATAAAACCTTAAGCAGGAAATTTCCGTTCTCTGAGCCTCAGTTGTCTTCATCTCTAAAATGGGTTCAATAACATTCCCGAATCATAGGGTCAAGGAGAGGATTAAGAGAGGTGATTCGTCTAAGGGGAGAGCTCAGACGGGAGCTGTGGTTCTTGCATCGGCTGAGACTGCAGGGGGCCCCGCTCACCTGGCTCCCTTCCTGTGTTTTTTTTCTGCCCAGATGTGGAGGTGAACGGGCAGAACTGGACCTTTGCTTTTGACTTCTCCTTCCTGAGCCAAAAAGAGGATCTGGAGTGGGCTGAGCTCCGGCTGCAGCCGTCCAGCCCTGTGGACCTTTCCCCTGATGTCCCGCTCTCCGTTGAGATTTTCCACCAGCCAAAGCTGGAGGCGGATCAGGACCCAGACAGCTGTCCGGAACGTCTTCGGATGGAACTGTTCACTGTCACTCTGTCCCAGGTTACCTTTTCCTCAGGCAGCATGGTCCTGGAGGTGACCAGGCCACTCTCCAAGTGGCTGAAGCACCCGGGGGAGCTGAAGGAGCAGATGTCCAGTTTGGCAAGAGAGTGTTGGCAGCAGCCTCCCACACCACCTGTCGCCAACGCGCTCCTCCTGCTGTACTCCAACGTCTCTCCTGAGCAGAAGAGGCTGGGTGGCCCCACCTTGCTGTGGGAAGCTGAGAGCTCCTGGCGGGCCCAGGAGGGACAGCTCTTCCGGGAGAGGGGCAGGAGGCACCCTCGACATCCTTTGCCTGACAGAAGCCAACTGTGTCGGAAGGTCAAGTTCCAGGTGGACTTCAACTTGATTGGCTGGGGCGCCTGGATCATCTACCCCAAGCAGTACAATGCCTACCGCTGTGAGGGCGAGTGTCCTAACCCCGTGGGGGAGGAGTTCCATCCGACAAACCACGCATACATCCAGGTGCGGTGCCAGAGCCCGGAGGGGAGGGCAGGGCAGGGGAGGGGAGGGGAGGGGAGAGCAGGCAGTCCGGGGGAGAAGAGGCTGCCCTGCAGGGTCAGGGGCACAGCACTCCAGCTTTGCTATTACATGACTGTGTTCATTCCTGCACAGTTATTCAAGCACCTACCAGGGGCTGGGCCAGGTGCCAGGGCCAAAGGATATAGAGATGACCAATGACAGCATCCTCAGACAGCCTCCATGAAGTTGTGCCCCTTGGGGAGCATTGAACACATTGCTTTCCTGGGACTTTTTCCATGCCTTTCATCAAATTATGAGTGGCAGGTAGAGACTAGAGGGTCTCATATCCTCCCCAACCCTGCCATTCTAGGAAAGAAAGTTCAGAATCTAGAGTTTAGAAATAGAGAGGCCTGGATTTGATTCCTACTTGTTCACTGTGCCATACTGATCAACTTGCTTACTCTCTCTGATCCTCAGTTTCCCCACCTGAAAGTTGGGATAGCAGAGCCATATTTCATAGGGATGCTATAGGGTTAAGTGAGATGGTACGTATACTGCACGTACAATAGCTGGCAGCTGACAGGCATGTTTGATGCCTGTCAAACTTCCTCAGACTGGAAGTCTGTGGTTCACTGATGAAATGGGGGCCACATTTATGGGGCCATGGTTGAGATAATACTATTCCAGCTGCTGAACTTTTGCTGCTTAAAATAGTTAGAAAGGTCATAGGCTACCATCGGATGCCCGTAATCAGCCTAAGTTCTAGAAGGTGGTGGAGGGAAAGGAATGGAAGGAGAATGAGATGGAGAAAGTAGAGAATAGAGGGTAATAGAGAGGCCCTGTTGTAATAGGTGGCCCTGCCCTGCTCTCAAAGGTCATAAGGGACCAGCGTGTTTTTATTTACTCTGAGAAGCCTAGACTGAGAATCCCTTGGGCCTCTAGTGCATCCTCCATGCCAAGCCTCAGGCAGGGTTCAGAGGCTCTGGAGAGCACGTGAGCTGACCTTGTGCAAGGGAGGCGCTGGTGGGAGCCAGCTCCTTAGAGGACCTGTCCTGGGGAAAGGCCCTCATGAACCTCCGCTGGCCCCGCTTCACTCCACCAACCCACCTGCAGCAGATCAGAGGGAACCAAGGAGAAACCCAGATACTCCCAGTTGCCAACTCTGACCTGAAAAGATGTCAGTGTGTCACAGGGACAGGGCAGCACCCAGTCCCAGAATGCCAAGGGGTTGTTACCTTTTCTCCCATTGACTCTTTGCCCTCTCTGGGCAACAAAGAAAATCCCACAAGAATTTCTACACGACTCTCTTCTGCCTCATATTTTTAGAACTAAACCAGCAGTTTCTTGGAATATTTTTAAAACTGGTATTCACTCTAGACCATAACAATAGGAGAATGGATAATTTAGCTACTGTCCTACCCGGAAAGAGCTTTTAGGATCTTCTGTTGAAAAGATGCTTAAAAAAAGAGAGTTACTTAGAAGTTGGAGTTGATAATGTATTGCCATGCTGATTGCTTTGTGAAAACAACTTTCTTCAATCTTTGCACCCAGAAAGTGATTTAGATTCTATCTTTTTTTACCCTTTACCCAGAAATGACACTGTTCTGACCCTGCTGTTGGGATATGAATTGACCCCTCTCTCCCGTCCCTTTCACAGAGTCTGCTGAAACGGTACCAGCCCCACCGAGTGCCTTCCACCTGCTGTGCCCCAGTGAAGACCAGGCCCCTGAGCATGCTGTACGTGGACAATGGCAGAGTCCTTCTAGACCATCACAGAGACATGATTGTGGAAGAGTGTGGGTGCCTTTGAGGAGATCCTGGAGGGGTGCTGGGTTTGCCTGTACCTTGGAAGGTTGGGAAGCTCCTGGAAGACATGATAACCATCTGTCCCAAAGAGGAGGAATACAGGGGGAAGGCGGCTCTGTCCACCAGACCAGAGGAGGAACGGCTGCCCAGCCTGTGAACGAAGGCCCTGCGGAGTCCGGCTAAACATATAGGCCATCGGGAGAGGGAGGAGGAAGCTGTGAGGCAGACTTGCTGGGTTTTCTCTTTACTGAACAGATAGCGGCAAGGAAGAGCACTAATCCAAGAGTTCTTTACCGGACTTTTAAAGCTGTGAACCCCCAGAAATTGTATGTAAAAATAGAGGCATAAATGCATTTTTGAGGTGCGATAAAGTTGTTTACAACTTTTATGTATTCTAGAAAGTGGCCTTTGATACCCCCACCCCCAGAGATTAAGCATCACTGTGTTAAATTAAAAAGTCAGGTGCTCTCATTGCCTCAGGCTGGCTTAGGGCGCCGCACATCTTTCTGACTGGCCAGTAGTAATCTGTTGGCCTTGTCCAGGCTCCCTGAAGTGGATCTCTGCTAATGAGTTGTATGGACAATAAAGCCATTGTCTAGTTCTTCTGGGCCAGCTGGTGCCTTTGAAGGAAGAGGCAGGAACTCGTCCAAGAAAACTGGTCACGTTGGACTGCAGAAGCCGGAGCCCTCAAGACACCCTCGCGTCAGTCTGCTTTGGCAGACACAATCTGAGGCTATTAAACTTGGTGACAGTTTACCTCCATCTCTTAATGCTTACTGTTAATGAGGCCCCTGAGCTTCCTACCCAGTAGGGTGAAAGCCCTGCCCTGGGTGACAGATTTGGGTTATGATCACAGCTCAGCCACTGAGAAGCTGTGTGGCCCTTATCCCTCAGGTGAGTAATTCACTGCTCAGCCTCATCCTGGGGCATGGAAGCAGGTGGATCCTAATGTATTCCTGTGCAATGTCTGCTGGAAGGCTCAGGAGAGCCATGAGCTTTAAGCCAGACTGTCCTCTGGTCTTTACCCCCATCTCCCTATAAAGCCTGCTTGGCCCAGGGTTCTAAGATTGGCTTAATTTCAAGTTTCTCATAGCAGCACAACAAAAGGAACACAAGTTTACTTAGGAGGCTCTCCCATCAAACACATGTCTTTGCCTTCTGGATGAAAAGGCCCTAAAGCCAGCAATTCTGCATTTCTCTTACCAGCATTGCCAAAACAGGAATGAAAGACACACACACACACACACACACACAGACACACCATACACACACACCCCCACCCCCCCCACGGCAGGGTTAGGAGGCCATTTTGTCAGGAATGTGAAGCCACAGTAATTCTGCCCCTGCTTTCCCAAGAAGCCCATTGACTTGGGCTCCAACCAGCCTTTGGAAAATGATGTCAATCACATGAGGACACTTGCTGAGTTTAGATATTCAACTGCAGCCTTGCTTGCCCAGGCAGGGGTTGGCTAGGCTAGAGCCAGGCCTGGGCCTGGGAAACCTCAAAACCCTGATTCAGCAACAAAGCTGATCAAGCTGCTCTGTGTCGTGGAGTGGAAATAGACCTGCCCTAACTACAATTCATGATCACGTTAGGATTCTGCATCTGACTCTACTTAGAAAACAGTGGTGCTAGGGAGGCCCGGTGAGGTCAGCTTTTGTCCCATCCTTTCCTAAATGAAGCCCCAGAGAGGCCTAGTGACCTGACTACACAGCTAGGAGTGGCTCTGGTCTCCGGAGCCCCAGGGGCACTGCCCTTCATAGCTTTTAGAGGTCTTTGCCCCCTAGCTTTGGATCAGGGCTATAGCCTTTGGAATCAGACGTGAAGCCTAATTCCACTACCAAATCGATTATCTTGGGAGAGAAAATTCCATCCTTGGGCTTTAGAGCATCTTTGTTAAGTAGGTGCCAAATAGTTGTTCTCTGGTTGGGGCCAGGACAGCAAAAGGTCAAGTTATTTGTGGCTGCAGCTTGTGGGAGTACTCAGTTAGCAGCTCTGACAGAGGACAAACCTCACTGACAACAAGGCATCGCCTCATCCCAAGCAGAAGACGCAGGCACGAAGGAGTGAAATCTGCTTTGCTGACCCCTGCTGAGAGGTCGGGTTACATCAGCAGCAGGGGCATTCTGCTGCCTGGCCAGAGGCACCTGGGGCCAAGCCTAGCAACACAACTCCATGGTCTGCACCCTGTGTACTGGTGAATGCTTTGTTAAGTCAGGAAATACTACCTCTGAGAACCGAGTTCTGCCCTAACCGCGGGGCCCAAGAGGGAGCTTTGATAGAGTAGCCAGAGGTACCGGTATTTTACCTTGCTCTGAAGGCAAAGGTCTACTATTGTTTCTATGGCAATGCCACGTCAGTAGGTAAGTTGGAGAAACTATGCATTACTCTCCTTGGCTGGGGAAGTGGGTGGTGGCCTGGCAGTAGGTAGGAATGGCAAAAAGAAAAATGAGAAACAAACATAGGACACAGAGGAGTTGGGAAGCAGTTGTGACTCACATAGGACCATAGGGGTTTAAATCAATTTTGTAAAGCCTCCCCTTTTATTAGCAGCAAAACCCTTACCCCTCTATCTGAAATTGCTTGAGGTTAATGTCTTACTGCCTTTAGGGCAGAGTAAAGGACCTATGAAAGTGCTTTCAAAATTATTTGGCCCCACCTTTCCTAAAGAGATTATTTAGTCTTTCTGGAGGTCCTACCGCCAGATGGTAGCTGAAGTCCACAAGCCCGTTCCATTCTGGAACTTGCACTCTGGGGAAAAGGAGACCCCGCTATCCAAGTTCTGGTTTCACGCCAACTGAGCTGCGCTTGAGCCCTTTGATGAAATGTACAAGGCACTGGGCTAAGTGCTTCCCACAGTCTTACCTGAGCCTCACAACCACCTGGTAAAGACAAGGCTGAGACTGACTCCTCTTGGCAAGAACGCGGCTCCTACGCAGCAGAGCTGAAATCCAGACTGTTACCCAAAGCCTGTGCTAAACCTGGGCTGTCCTGAGAGGAACACATCTCAAGTCTACAGGTTTATTCTGTGGACTTGTTTACTGCATCTAAAACATGAAAGGACCGAATTCTTGCTCTCTATACTAGTATGTGAACCCCACTGAATTAATAATAGCAAGGAATCTGAGGCTCATGCAGCAGAGCCTGGTTTATTTTAAGACATCAGATATGATGGATTTCTAACAAGTGCTCCTGAGAGGCAGCGGCAGCCCTCTTCAGGAAAAGCCGTTAGGGCTTCCTCGAGGCTGGCGCCCATGGTTTTCTTCTACATCCAGCCCCAGCATATGTACCTGCACCTCCGAGCTCTGAAGGAACACGTCGCCTTCTTGCATATATGGGGCCGAAATGGCAGTCAGTGCTCCCCAAACGTCTAGAACGGACACCTGAAGTGGCCGAATGCTTTTACCTATCTTCTCACCAGTCAGGACTGCCAGAATGTGAAACCAACAGGATTTCACCTGGAATTTTAAAAAATTACATAGAACAGCAAGTTGATATTCAAGATCTTTATTGATTCAACTGTAACAGCAACCATTGGTAAGAATTTATTTTTTTCCCCCGATTTCCAAACACCTTCTGGTTTGGAAGGACAGTTAGACAAAAACAAAACAAACAAAAAACCCCAAAACAACTAATCACACAGGACTGCCTCAGGGCTACATGGTACCCTCTGCGATCCATTCATGACAGTGAAATGGATGGCGGGGTGGGGTGGGGGCGCGGGGGCCGGGGCATCAGAGGATGAAGGGAAGATCCGAGAAAGAACTGGCAGTCTCCGCTTTTCCATTCAGAATGGTTGGAACTGGGTCGCTGGTGTCACTAAGACAGGGAAGGACATTTTTTAATATATAAAATATTTTAAAGGTGATTAAAATGGACATCTGAATATATGAGTATCCATTGGGCTCTCCTCGCCCAGGTGGAGACGGGCTCCCTCTTCAGGAGGCAAGGCACTGGCTCACAGCAGAGATGCGGACACAGCAGGAACAGCATGGCTCACCTGCATGAGTCGTCCCTCATCTCCGTGGTGTTCCTTCCCCACTCTCCCGGTTTCAAGTAAAAATTACCCTTGGCCAGGACTGGGTTTTTGCCCCTTGCCCCCACTCCTTCTAAGATGGAGAGGGATTGAAATGGGGCAAAAATGGATATTCTGTGCTAGATTCATGGAATTCCCTAAGTTTGAAGTATCTAGGAATTCTGGTTTTAAGAACTGACAAGAGCTCCCTTTGCAAATTTCAACATGGCCAAATGATTATCGAGCATTGCGGCATCTCTCAGCCAGCCTCTCACTCACAGAACGGTGGCAGGGGCGGAGTTCAAGCACCTCCCAATATGTGTTTTCATCTCAATAGCATTTTCCATCAGGTATCCATGCAGTGATCTGCTAGCGCTGCACACAGATGTTAAGCAAACAGAAACCACTGACCATCTGAACAGGGCCTTGAAAGACTTAAATCTAAGCTTTGCCAAAAGGTATCAACTTATAGGACTAACCCAAAGAAATTTAAGTTCTGGAGGGTGAGAAGGGTGACATAAATGATTGTTTGAAAAAAATATGCATGTATCAATCACCCTCAGTCTTCAGTAAAACATTTTTGTGACCTAGCCTCAAAGAAACCCCAACACTAAACTGGAAAATCATTACTAGAACAGGGAATGCCCCTGGGGTATAAGCATTCTAAAGAACTGAGACCCAGATGTCTCAATGATCTCAATGATTTCATCTTTTATTAAAAGCTGAGAGGTAAAGAACCTGGGGCAGGGGGTGTAGTATGTGTGATAACCATGCCCCATCCCCCAAGTCCAGACAGAAACTGCCCTCCCAAAGAAACAATGCTTCTTTAAAACAAATACTGCACCATCCCAGGGGTCATGGGTGGGTGATTGGGTTTCGCAGATTAATAAATAGCTGCCTGTATGCATGTAGTCCAGAAACATGCCAAGAAGGGAAAGTTCTGACACAAATGAAGGCACTGGGCCACCTCTTTCAAGGAAACTGCAAAGGGCTGACTCGCTGGCTCAAGCAGCCAAGATGCTTGATACCTCACTGAGGATCCAAGATGAGGAGAAAGGAAAAAGGTTCAGTTTCTGGGATATTGCTGTCAGTACGATGAGCCCCTTACACCAGTGGCCTTGAGTCAAAGCAGGCGCTCAATACATACTGGCTGAATGATGGACTACGGAGATGATACCTACACAATTTAGCAAGCTGCATTCTAATGGAAATGTTTGAACTGGGAAGGTAAGTCCTGACAATCCCAAAGAGCTGGTAACCCTAATAGCAAAATAAAACACCGTCTATGTTGACTCCACCTTAAGATCAGGAGGAAAGGCAAAATTCATGTGAAGGTGCTTTAAAGATGAGTTCTTTACTTCTGGAAGAAATAATTTTTTTCTCATAGCTGCCTCAGTAGCAGTGTTTTATTCAAGTCTATTCTAAAGCAAGCAGTGCTGCAGATAAGAAAGTGCTGGGGAGAAGCAGAGTGTAAATCCATACAAGAGTCTACATATTTGAGATGTCTGAAATCTCTGAAAACTTAGTTGGGCATAGGTGCCACGCACACACAGCAGACATTCACTAAGAATGTGTTGAACCGATGAGCCTCATCTAAGTTTCTCTCAAGGGTGAAGACAGGACTGGTTCTTTTTAAAAACCCATTTCCATCAAGAAGCCCAGGACTAGGAGGATGCAGAGTTAACCTGTACACCGACTTAAAGGAACAGGGAAGCAAAGACATTTCTAATTCCCAGATGTTCCCTACTTTGACAAGTAGCTTCTTGGGTGACACCTGACCCAAGTCTGTTTCGGCTGTGGTAGCTGAAGTCCAGGTGTCAAGCATCGACTCTGGTGGACGTGGTCCAGGTGCTATCATCTCTTGCGCCCTGAATCTGAACCCTAAAGCAACAGGGCTACAGATAAGAAAATGCTGGTGAGAGGCAGAATGTAAATACATTCAAGATGAGTTCTTGTATGGCTTCTCTTCAGCTCATTAACCCAACATCTAATTCACATTTGCTCCCTTTGCTGGACAAACTTGGCTCCAATTAAGTCAGCTTTAGTGGATCGGCTAGAAGCACCCAGTTCCCTTCGTCAATTCCTGGCTAGGAGGAATAGCAAGTAAGTGGTTTTGAGTCTCACAAACACCAAACCTAGAACTTACAAAGCAGCATCTACGGGCTGCTGGCAGTCAGGCAAGTGTATAGTATTATGTTCTGGGAACTGCCATATCCAGCCACTCAAAATCAGCAGGTATCTTTGAGGAAAGTCTGTCTTCTCTTCCAGTTTGGTGACACATATCTTAGAGAACTGTTTTTAGGAGCAACATCTCTCTCAATAGATCATCTAGTTTAAACCTAACCACCACCTCCATTAACTTGGTTTCATCCTGTTAGGGATGAAGTGGCTTTAAGCTATATCCACCAGTTCTTTGATATTGCTCCATTCAGTAGGTGGTGTACTTCTCTCTTTTGAGTGCAGGCTGGGCTTAGCGGCTTACTTCTAAGGAATGGAATAAGGAAGTAAAAGTGTGTACTTTCAAAGACTGTAGATAAAAGGCACTGCAAATTCCTCCTTGTCCCCCCCCCCCGGTCACTCAGTCAGGGGGACGGCAGCTGCCATGGTGTGTGGACACTCACAATGCCCTACACAAAGACCCACATGGGGAGAAACTGAGGCATCCTGCCAACAACCACACGGAGAGACCTTAGAAGTGGATTCTCTAGCTCCAGATGACTGCAGACCCTGCCAACATCTTGACTGTAGCTTTCTGACACTGACACTCCTGTGCCAAAACCATGCTGCTAAGCTGCTTCTAATTCCTAACCTACAGAAACTGACAGATGACATTTGCTCTTTTGAGACTGTAAGTTTGGGGGTAATTACACAGCAGGTGGAAGGACAAAACTCTTGGCTTGGAAGCCCAATACTTCTAAGCCAATTTCTCTACAACTGTGCCTTTGAGAATGTGATAGCTATCTAAATAGTATGAGGAAGTGGTGGGCTCAAGAAACCACACTATAAAGGCAGAACCATGAGAATGCATGTCTCCTGCTGGAATATGGAGGAAGAGGTCATTAAGATGGACTGTCCCCAGAAATGTGGAATCATGATTTCCTCATTAAAAGAAAAATACAAGCACTCACTAAGATTTTAAGAACCATCTCACTCAAAAGATACCCTAAAGGTGTTCCCTCCTCAAGAAAAGCCAGGATAGACATTTAAGGCCTCACCCAAGTTTCCTTCCAAACATCCAGAAGTAAACCACCTACTGGATTCTGGCTTGCTCGGAACATGATTGTGAGGCACGGCCAAAGGGGTCATCTGCTGAAAGTTTACCTGTTGCCTTGTGAAATCATCTTTAAAATGCCAACTTATGAAGTCAAAGTCTCTCTGGTAGCAATGGCCTCCAGGAAAGAAGTGCACCAAGCAGCAAGAAGGCCTTGAATAGAAGGCTAAGGAACTGGGCTGCTCTTGTACTATACAATTGACACTCCCAAGAGTACTAGGAAAATAGCTTATGATTAGGCGGCTATGGGCAGAAATTGCTCAAGATGGCAAAAAAAAAAAAAAAAGGGAAAAATGGTATTTTGACACTACTCAGGCTGTCATGTTTTAATTCCATTCCCCACTGTTTGGTGAGGAAGCTGAGTTTCCATGTGCAAAAATAAAGATCAAGAAGGGGATGCTCTTCTGGCTCACGGACAGACCAACTGGCTGTAGCTGGAGTCGGATTCCACAGGATGCCAAGGCTAGGGCATGAAGAATGAAAAGCTTCATTCCTAAAGAATCATGCTCCCGGGGGACAAAAAGGTCCTGAGCAAGCTTCTTATGCAAATTACAGTGCAATTTGAGATTTTCCAAGAGAATATACAGTGAAATTTGGAGTTTAATTATAATCAGAACAGGGATACAGTAAACAAACAAACATAATACACTTTTCTGATCATCAATTTTTGAGGCTGAAAGCATCTCCAAAACTTTGGAGGTCCAGCTTATTCCTGAGAGACATCAACCATCACAAAAGGTTTTACTCTTTGAACTATTCACATTTCATAGCAGAAAACAGAACAAAGTTCCTCTGACATCCTCCCTCTCTTGTCCAAAATGTCTTTGCAAAGAGAATCTTTTCAAAGTTCAAAAAAAAGAAAAAAGAAAAAGCCAGCTTTCTTTTTTAGCCAATTGGCCTATTAACCTCATCCTGGGTTGTGATCTCTTAATACGAGGGTTCAGAACATCAAATCCAACCAGAAATTCCCAGGACATCAGAGGCTACTTGTCTTTCTATGAGGGGACAGAGGCATTAGTCTTTCTAAGAGGGGGTCACTCTCCTGGGATTACTGTGCCAGTCAATAGTCAGGGGAGTGGCTGGGGAAGAGGGGGAATAACAGAGCAAAGGGTAAGGGGAAAGGAGGTGTTCATGAACAACCCACGACAAGGCAGAATGGTCCAGCTTTACAAACCACCCACTATAAATGCCAAACATGCACACCCAAAACTAGAGGAAGAAGGAAACAACTCAAATGGGACTGCAGGAGACAAAGGGTGGTGAAATGGAACAGCAGACTCGCCTACAGACATCTCTCACCTTCCTAACACTGGAAGATGTGATTAAAAAGTTGCTGTTCAAAATTGTACTGAAAACATATCTAAAAATAGGTCTGTAGTCATCTTAAAAAATAAAAGGTCACTCCTCAGATAAGAGAAGTGACAGATATTATCAGATACCAACACTTGAGGTATCTTTGATGTATATTTGAAAAATGACCTGGCAGAGAAAGGAGGAGGAAAGAGAGAGGAAGGGAAGGAGGGAGGGAGGAAGGAAAAGAAAGGAAAAATTTGGAGTACAATGGGAAAGGCAAGAAAATGGGGAGAACACATTTTGAAGCCCATGCCTATCTATCTCAGCAGCCAAATAAAGCAGGTCCACAAAGGAAAGAAGTTTAGTTCTTTTCTAAACTCAAAATATAAAAAATTGCAACCTGAGATAAACATTACAATATTCACTGGACTGAAAAACAATGACCACTGAGACTAGTTACTTAAATGGGTCAATGCTCTTCCAAAATCATCCTAAGTATCATCCGCAGGATACTATCTATGATCAGACCTTATCCAAAATGCCTGTCACTTGGTATGGACCTGCTCTGAGAGCAGTAAAATCACCTGGATACAATAGGACTGCAAGCAACATGATGCAAGCAGGGAGGAATGGAAGAAGAGGAAAGAACAGCTGGTTATTGACAACCCCCTTCTCTTACAGAGTTTAAAATCGTTTGCACACATGTGATAAGTAAAGGAATGGGAAGATGAACTCTAATGCTGAAGACAGAAGATGGAGGGGAAGCAGACCTCCGAACAGTGTCACAGGGTAGTGCTACCAACAGCTGTACAACCTGTGCTAGCCCCATGGGCGAACACCTCAGGGTACAAGGGAAAGTATCTCTCTTCTTGTTTATTTCCCTCTTGTTTCAAAGGCCCCAAACCTAGACTCTTGTAGCACTGAACCATGGGCTGGAGACAGGGAGAAGAGACACAGGGTAAGAACACGAACAATAATGAATCCACCAAACCTCTGTAACACTTCCCCAGACTTCCCAGCTGGCACTGGTTGGTAGGTTGATATTTGATTTGGGATTTTAAAAAAAAATGGGGGAGGGGGGTGCTTCTAAATATGAAAATGACTTAGGGAAGCCAGAATTCAACTGTTTTCCTTTGTGGGCTGCTTAATTCCACAGAAATATGCCATGGGCCTTCAATCTAATCTAACTTGGAAGGGGAACAGGAAACAAGGAGAGGAAATGGTCAGATGAAGCTCATCTTCACATCATTTGGCACCCAGAGGAAGAGGAGGAGGTGGAGACTGCATTGGGGAGTGCTGGTATTGCCTCTTCTGTGTTTTCATTGTTGATCCTATTGGCCAAATCAGGTTTACACAGGAATCAGTGTTGCTGCTATTCTTCTGATCCTTGCAGGACAGTTAGATGTCCATCTCAAACTGAGCATCATCCCCTAGTTAGAATGAAAAAGATAAAAAGTTTTACACAAAAATAGACGAGCAAAACAGCTTTAATTGTCATTCCTCTGCATGAGGGTCAAAAATTAATTCAAACTATCACATTCTCTGGTAACTTAAAACAATTATCCTGCTTTGCTTTAGCTGGTCATTTTAATCTGGGAGAAGAAAAAAAAAAAGGCTGTCAAATCACTGATGGGAAGAAGCATTTGAGAAAATGATGCAAGTCCTTTTCGGTGTCCCTTTCTCCATAGGTTGGCTAAACAGGAGCTCCTGGGGATGCCGTCCATCACATCAGCATACTCTACTGGAGGCTTTGAACTTTGGCCCTGCTTTGAATTGACAAACTGTCTATTAAAAACTCATTTGGAATTTGAGGCGGTAGGATGCTGGCTCATGTACAGGGGTCATGGAATGCAATCTGAGGTGGACTTCAGGAGCTGGCTGTTTCCACCTCCCTCTTCTTCTTCCAGAGACAGTGAGGATTCATTACTAAACACGTGTGTGTAGGGGTTGTTTATTTAATTATAGGCAGTCCTAGAAAATAGGGGAAAAAACATACTGTTTCCCCCACACCATAAAAATGACGGAAATGGGGACTATTAAACTGTTTTAGGTTTTCTGGTATGTGTTTTCCCTAGTCCCATAAAGACCAAGTTCAAGGAGTCATCTTTGGAATTTACCATTCCGATTTTGGAGTTTTCCTTTCCACTCACTAGATGAAATTTGATTATGATTTAAACTTAAGGGTTCCAGAACATATCAATTAATAGTGGTGAGGGGACTTGGGGGGTGGGATCGGAACCTTGGAGACATATAACTAACTGAACACTAGTTTTAACTGAGCATCAACATTTTTCAACCTACAGCTGACTGATGTTCAAATTTCCAGGACCACCTTCCTGGTCCCCAATTCCAGCATTCTCTTACCAACTGCATGCTTCCTATCATGATTGTTCAAGTTGTTCAAATTGTTTACTTCTACTTTGGAGTCTTCAATTAAGGTGCCAGGGCTGGTGACTCCTGGGATATTGGGCAGATGGCAGGGTGGGGTCTGAGCCATGGGAGAATTGCGACGATCCAACAGAAACTTTCGATCATAAATGATTCGGGTTCCTGGAAAACATCATTGGAAAGAGTTGGAAAAAAATTAAGGGGTTATGAACATATACTACTACCCAGGAATTTATTTTAAATCCCATTTAATTCTAACCCTTAAGAATTTTGCAATTCAAACAAAATGGGGTAGCTTTACCCTCTCTAGCCCCTTTGCCATCTGGAATGCCTTTTCCTCCTCTCCTGCTGGGGAAATTACCTACTTATCCTCCTTCAAGACTCAGCTCCATCATTGTTTCCTTTACAAAGCTCTATAAAAATATTCTTTCCCCCTATCTTACTCAATATACATTACCTATTACAGGACTGTGGTTTAACTATTTGTCCCTCTGTGAGTTCCTTATGCCAGGGCCATGGTTTGTTCATATCTGATTGTAGGTCCTAATCATTAAGTAGATCTTCAAAAAAGTTTTATATAAAAGGTTGACGGATATCTACCTTTAGGTTAAAGGGACTGAGATCAATATTCTTTCCAGAAAGAGCTGAGTAGAAAATGAAATTGGCAGCCCTCCTCTATTTTACAAACCGGTCTGCTTACTAGTAAGTGCTACCAGAATATATTGTAGTAGGTATGGAATGCACTTTACCTGATAAACAGTTAAGAAAAACTGCTGCCATTTCTTCTTTTATGGTCTTTCCAAAGAACTAATGGCTACAAATAAGACAAAAAACCTAACAATTTAGAGATGCTAGATGTTGGCCTAAGGTAGTGGATGCCTGGAGCTCCACCGCTGATTCTAAGACTATAGTAAGCTCAGGGAGAAAGAATGTAGTGACCATGAGGCGGTGTCTGTTGAACAGGGGAGGAGGAAAGCGCAGTGGCAGGCCAGTGTACTAGCCATCCCCGGCCAATTAGCAAAGGGATGTAGTCCTGTGAAGGCATCTTGCTCATACTAGGCTTAAACCCAGGGAAGAAAAACTTGACTTAAAGGTTTAGGCTAACGGCATTGAAAATAAATTTGTGTACAAAGTTACACAGTTTAAAGAGGCAGAATGTAAATACTACCTGCTGGTCAATGCTTTTAGATTACCAAGTAAAAAGAAAGAATCCTGCCATATTATAACACGGAGAGACTGGTTCAGGTAGATTTCCTCAAATAACATGTGACAGCTATATCCCAGGAGACAGAAGAACAAATACAACAGCTAACTAATCTAATTGAAATGTGAGCATATAAGTGGAAAAAAGCAAGGCATTTACTACACAGGAATGGAAACTCTGGAGTCTTCTCCAGAAAGGAGGGAAATGCATATTTAATCCAAATAAATACCAACATTAAATAAATAGTTGGGAAGTGAGTTACAAACTCAATAATTTTCTTGAGATTAACAGTTGCAGTGGTACCATCACACTTTTATGCAAACGCCAGTAAATAATTTCCTTCTGAGGAAAAGGCCAGTAGAGACTCCACCCTCCATCCCCAACCATCCTTGCTTTATCAATCAAAATTAAGTACTAAACATACTATCTTCTCAATAATATTACAAATCAGTCACAGGAAAGAATCACTGAAAGTCTCAGATTCAGATGGGAATCTACTGGCACGTGAAGGCATTTCAAAACAAAACCTAAGACTTTCAAACCAACTCCAGAGGTTATCAACTTTCTTTTTTACTATCGAATCCTACTGTAACTACACTGCATGCACAATCATATTTATAGTTTATAAGATGTGGAAATAAAATATCTGGCTCTCACCCGCTCTATAATAAACTAAAAAAAATATGGTACCATACTTGGAACCTACCAAAACAGCATTTTTGCAGATATCTGTATCATCATCTCCAGGGAAGCTTGTTAAAAACATTCCAATTGAATTCAAACCCTTGGGACTAGAACCAGGGGGAAAATATATATATTTTTCCCCCCAAGTTCCCCAGTCATTGTGGTGTTCCTTTAAGTTAAGAACCCAACTTCATCCTTCTTCCAAAACCCTAGTAACAGTACTTTAATAATAGATGAAATATCAAAGAATCAGTAAGACAGTGATGGAAGGGGCAATAGAGATCACTTTGATGAATGATGCCGAGACTCAGAAAAGCGAATCAAGGTCACAAAGCTAACCAGGGCACAATCTGAACTGATGCTGTGGTCTCCTGACTCCCAGTCCAGCCCTCTTTCCAGTGCACATCACAGTAACTGTGATCTTCAAGAGTGGGAGTAAGTTGTCTGAAGTGAAAGGGATGGAAGGGTATACTACTGAATATATGTAAGTAACAGAGTAAACAAGCACAAGGTATGGCAAGCAGTTTATACAATACAGGCAACCAATCATTTGCCCTAAAACACTTCAAGATTGGGTGAGGGGAAGTGGTGGAGGGTGTTTTTGTTTTCCTATACATTTTATAAATTACTTAATCTTTGTATTTCTTACATAACAGAAATGTACAATTTTAAAAATTATGTGAATAAGTAGGTTATATAATCTAAGAAATTTATTTTGGAATACTAAAGGAGCATTACAAACTTTGGTAATAAAGAAGATGCTAGTAGAGATGATTATCTCCAAAGAACAGCATGGCAAACACCAGGTTAATAGCTCTAATTGCTGTGAAGGGTGCTTCTTTCACCATAAGGCTACAGGAAATAGGAAAAGGCCAAACCTTCACAAAGGACATCTTTAGGTCCTCTGAGAGTGGGCTAGTATTAAGCTTCCTATCTTTTACTGTTAGAAATACGTAAGTGTATAGACCCATAGTTCATTTGTGACGGGCCATGATCCTAAGCTTAGCAGAGCAGTTTTGTGTGACTCCCTCCAACCCATTAGAACACTTAGAAAAGGTGGAAATCATCTGTTCCTTATTTAAAGAAGACACAAGTCTTATATCCTCTTTCAAATATAATTTTAGGACAAGGAAAGTAGAAATTTACCTCCATTTTCTTTGTTCTGAAAAAATGAGAATTATAACAACTCAAAAAGGCATATGGAAATTATGAGTCATTTTGGATGGCAGAAAACAGTTCAACTTTCAAAAAGAGAATAATCTGAATTATTTTGGATGAAAAATTTTCTAACATGGATTTAAAATGTTTTACTACCTTAAACAGAAAACAATTCAACGCTTTCTTGATGAATCAGGGTCATTATTTTGAAAATCATTAAAAAAAAAGATGTTATTTATTTATTTAGAGAGGGGAAGGGGAGAGGGAAAGTAACATCAAAGTGTGGTTGCCTCTCACATGCCCCCTGCTGGGGACCTAGGTTGCAACCCAGGCATGTGCCCTGACTGGGAATCAAACCGGGGACCCTTTCGTTTGCAGGCTGGCACTCAATCCACTGAGCCACACCAGCCAATGCTGAGAACCGTTTTTTATACCACGTTGTCACTTAGAAAGTCTCAGGGCCTGTTCAACTGATGCTCTTTATTTTTCTTACACTGTACAGAATTCAGATTGTCAGGGTTGTGCCTGTACCCCTCCCTTCATAGTTTGTCCCCTCCCTCACTCTTAGGCTAAGAACTGCCTTTTCCCCATGTTTTAGTCAGTGTGGGCTGCCATAACAAAATACCATGGACAGCATAAAGAGAAACATACACGTATTCTCTTACAGTTCTTGAGCAATCCAAGATCAAGATGCCAGCATGAACTGTTTCTGCTGAGAGTTCTCATGTGGGCATGTAGATAGCTACCTTCTCCTTGTGTTCTTCACACGGAGAAGCAAAGAGCAAGCTCTCCAGTGTCTCATTTTAGAGGGATACTAATCCCATCAAGGGGGCCCCACCCTCATGACCTATTCTAAATCTAATTACCTCTCAAAAGCCCCATCTCCAAACACCCTCACCTAGCGGGTTAGGGATTCAACATATGAATGGAGAGGGCAAGATTCTATCTATAGTACACCATTCACCCATTGAAATTTAAAGTTCCTAATCTGTTGGGCTTGGAAATCAGTGATCTGCTTTTTAGAAGGCTACGTAAAATAAGAGCCACCAGGCTGAGAGGGGCCTGATGGCTTTCCAATGAACAGAGGGAAGAAGCTTTAGTGGATCCACTTTGCCCAGCTGTTGTTATCCGCCCCCCCCCCCTTAATGTCAGTGGGTTTCAGAAGGGTGAGGTTTCACTGTGAAATGTTGTAACATTCAACTTCCAAGTCAGAACAATATTATTCTCATTTCTGCAACACACCAAGCTTAGAAACTGAAGATGAGTGGTGGAAAAAAAGCACAGGATAAAAGTAAGCTTTCTACTTTTAAATTACATATTAGCAATAACATATGCATTAAAAAACTGTAATTGAGCCCTGGCCGGGCAGCTCCATTGGTTGAAGTGTCATCCCATACACCAAAAGGTGGCAGGTTTGATCCCCAGTTGGGGTACATGCAGGAGGCAATCAATGTTTCCCTTTCTCATTTCCTCTCTAAAAAATAAATACAAACATACATAAATACAAATAATAAAAAATGAAATAAAACATGTCCTAGGGTGAGGATCAAAAACAGAAACCCCCAAAAAACAACAAAAAAACCCCCAACAAAAACAAACAAAAAACCTAAATGAAATAACTAGGAAGTTATAGAGCTTCAACCTGTATGTGTGAGGTGGTGTAAGAGAAACTTTGAAGAACTTCTATGACTGCAGAGATGATAAAGTACCTTTTTACAACTTTACTGAGACATAATCCATTCATTCAAAGTGTGTAACTCAATAGTTTTTAGTGTATCTATAGAATTGTGCAACTGTTAACACGATTAATTTTAGAACATTATCATCCTCCTCAAAAGATAACCCACACACATTTAGCAGTCCCTTACAATTTTCCCCTAACCTCTTCCAGCCCTAGGCACCCATTAATTTTTCTGTCTCTACAGATTTGCCTACTCTGGACATTTCATATAAATGGAATCATATAATATATGGTCTTTATGACTGCCTCTTTCACTTTCATAACATTTTCAAAGTTCATTCATGTTAGCATTTATCAGTACTTCATTTCTTTTTTACTGCCAAATATTCCACTGTAGGTATGTATCACATTTTATCAATTAATCAGTTGATAGAC